ATTGGTTTGAGTTCAAAACCAGCCTGGGCTACAAAGTGAGCTCAAGGCCAGCCTGAACTGCATAATGAGACCCTGTCTCAAAAAGACAAACAAACAAACAAAAAACTAAAGACAGAAAACAAAAAACCCCAGCCACCATCCTCACAACCAACCAGCAGATAAAACATGAGTGTGGACAGACTGTCATCCAAAATTATGCCAGCTACTCTGATCTGAGGAACCAACCATTAACAGGGGTGGCTGACACATGGTTCACAGATGGCAGCAATTTCTTAAAGCATGGTATTAGGGCAGGCTATGACACAGTCAGCACTACCCAGGTCATTGAAGTGAGAGGACTTCCCCCTGGAACTTCTGCCCAAGGGAAGAACTTGTTGCCCTCAGCTACTTGCCTAGGGAAAGAGGATCGAAATATATACTCACTCCAAATATGCCTTTCTTGTTCCTGGCATGGTGGCACACGCCTGTAATTCCAGCACTTGGGAAGCTGAGGCAGGAGGATCATTGCGAATTTGAGACCAGTGTGGGCTACAAAGTGAGCTCAAGGCCAGCCTGAACTGCATAGCGAGACCCTGTCTCAAAAAGACAAAACAAAACAAAACAAAAAACCCAAATATGGCTTTCTGGTCACACATGCACATACATTCATCTGGAAAAAAGGACTTTTGACTCGTCACCAGTCTCCAATAAAACATAGACCGGGACCCTCAATCTTCTCTAGGTAGTAAATCTCCCAAGTGAGGTAACGGTTGTCCACCGGAAGGGACATCAAGCCTCCTGGGATCCTTTCTCTCTGGGAAATTCTGAGACAGATTCCCTGCCAAGCAGGCTGCTCTGCAGTATAATTTTGTCCGTCAGCCTCTCTACGCATGGCCCCATTTCAAAATCCTGACTTAGAACCAGTATTCTCTATGGAACAGCTTCAAACGCTTCATAATGAGGAGGAACTGAACAGGGCCAGTGGTGGTTTGTGGGACCCGACTGTTCTTAGCACAGTGAGTGCAGTGGAAAGTCGTTAAGTCCCTACATGATGCCTTCCTCCTAGGGCAAGATGCTACCACTGCTGTCTTTATAGGGCCTGGAGCCCATAAGGTTATAACTCAGGTCTGTAAGGCATGTCCTGTCTGTGGCCTCCACAACCCACAGACTCATCTTCCCCTTTACCTGAACCACCACAAAGGTGTGGGTCCTTCCCTGGAGAAGACTGGGAAATAGACTTTACCCACCTGCCCATGTGTAAGGGGTATGCGCACTTCGTGCTATGCATTGATGCCTTTACTGGGTAGGTAGAGGGCTTTCCTAACTGGTCAGAGTGAGCTCTGTAAGTGGCAAATATCCTCCTTAAAAAAGTAATCCCTGGGCTAAGTGTGGTGGTGTACACCTGTGGTCTCAGCATTTGGGAGGCTGAGGCAAGGGGATTGCCACATGTTTGAGGCCAGCCTGAACTACATGGGGAGACTTGCCTCAAAAAATAAAAACAAACAAACAAACCAAAAACCCAAACCAAACCAAAACAAACAAAAAAGGTAATCCCTAGTTTGGACTGCCTAGGTTTATCTAGAGTGGTAATGGACCCTCTTTCACATCACAAATCACACAGGGAGTCACCAAAGCACTGATTAAACATCATCCCTACACTGTGTGGAGCCCTCAGTCATCAGGAAAGGCTGAGAGAGCTAAATTCTCAAATGAACTTCAGCTCAGCTGTATCAAGAAACCCACTGTAAGTGGCTAGACCTCCTTCCAATTGCCCTAATGAAGCTTCAGGCAGCCCCAAGACCAAACTTAATCTCAGCCCCTTTGAGATGCTTTATGAGAGGCCCTTTATTATATCTGATCTACTCCCTGACAGTGAAACCTCCCAACTCCTTCAACATGTGACCTACCTAGGAACTTTCCAACTGCCCTCCAGGAATATGGAAGAAAGATCCTTCCATTCCCAGGGACTAGCAATAACTGTCAACACAAAGCCCACCCTCATGTCCAGGAAAGAGAGTGGACCCCAGGACCACCCTACATCTAGATGGTTGGTTTTTTTCGTTTTGTTTTGTTTTTTTCCGGTACCGGGAACCGAACTCACAACCTTGCGCTTGCCAGGCAGGCGCTGTGCCGCTGAGCTAAATCCCCAGCCCCTCCTACATCTGGATGGAAAGGCCCTTACACAGCTCTATTAACCACTCCTTCTGCCACTTAGGTATAGGAAATGGACAGCTGGATTCACTTCTCAGGTTAAAGCCTAAGCTGCCTGAGACACCAGAAGACAAAAAAGAGGGACCACGAACATCCTACACCTGTGATCCGGTAGACACGCTCAAATTTATTTTCAGAAAAGAAAACACCAACCACTCTGTTGAACCAGACAAGTAAAAAGGTTTGCTCCCTCCAAGTAACTTGTGTGACTAATCTTGCTACTGTTTTGTTTACTACACATAAGGTCCCTGTTTCAAGTTATAACAACATATTTTGGGGTTTTTTTCTGTTCTTTTTGGGATCATCCTGGATTACTCAAAGACTGCCTCTAATAAAGATAATAAATAGTGACTGCTTACACAAGACCTTAAAGCTAATCACATTTTTCTCCTATCGTCAATAGCTGCCTGTTGACAGAGGAACTCGCCCAGAGTATCTTTTTTTTTTGTCTTCTTGACACAACTCAGCTGAAGTTCACTTGAGAATTTAGCTCTCTCAGCCTTTCCTGATGACTGCGGGCTCCACACGGTGTAGGGATGATGTTTAATCAGTGCTTTGGTGACTCCCTGTGTGATTTGTGATGTGAAAGAGGGTCCATTACCACTCTAGATAAACCTAGGTCATGTCTCAGGTCTTGTTATGCAGTTCAGGCCGGTCTTGAGCTCACTTTATAGCTGAGGCTGGTCTTGAACTCACAATGATCCTCCTGCCTCAGCCTCCCAAGTGCTGGGATTACAGGCGTGCACCACCACGCCTCGCTCCAACCCAGAGTATCCTTAAAGACCAGATAGACTCACTAGCAGCAGTGGCTATATAATGCCACAGGGCACTAGACCTCCTAACAGCCAAAACAAAGGGGTTATGTTTGTCCCTAAAGGAAGAATGTAATTCCTATGTCAATAGGTTCAATATAGTGAAAGATGCAGCACAAAAATCAGCTGACAGCTGGGTGTGGTGGTGCATGCCTGTAATCCCAGCACTTGGGAGGCTGAGGCAGGAAGACTTTTGTGAGTTCAAACCAGCCTATTGGGCTAGGAAGACAGCTCAGCAGCATAAATGCCTGCCTGGCAAGTGCAAGGTCCTGAGTTCGATTCCTGGTACAAAAACAAAACAAAACAAAAAACAAAACCAGCCTAGGCACACAAACACAATGTCAGAAGCAGTCATCCTTGACACCTGGGCTGAAGTCGGAGCTGCAGGTCTCACCTGTGTCAGGAAGAAGCCGGATAAGAGAGAGTCACGTGACAATAAACACAGCTCCCTCTGCTGTTCCCCTGGGGCACAGGCACAGTGGATCCGGCCAGACAAGATTGCCTTTTTTGTTTGTTTTGTTTTTTTTTCTGGTACTGGAAATCGAACTCACGACCTTGCGCTTGCCAGGCAGGCGCTGTGCCGCTAAGCTAAATCCGCAGCCCCTAAGATTGCCTTCAGTAGCACACAGACCAGGATGAAGCGGCCTGTTCTGACACTAACACTGGGCACTGACCCCTTGTGGTGCATAGGTAACCGCCCTCCAACTCCGTGGACTGTGGTGGCTCTGCCCTGGAGGTACCACGCGGAGCGGCACCTGCACCAGCCCAGATCCTGTTCCTCAGGGACTGGCTGACCACAGCTGCTCAGGACCCAGAGTGGCTCTAGGCCCAGGACGGTGGCATACAGAGGGCTCCCAGATGAGCGATTTAGATCCTGTTCCTGAGCTCACTGTGGGAACCCTGCACACTTTAGGACCCAAGGGCCCCCTCTTCCCTCCTCCTGGAGTCTGGCAGTCTCTGACCTTTGCTTGTCTGCAGTTTACGTCACTTTGGACCCCAGCAGCTGCAGGAAGGCCGGGACTTGGCTCTGGAGTGCCACTCGCTGGCAGCGAGGAATGCAGCCTGCGGTTCCAGGACTTGCTGCTCTTTGACCCCCACCCTCCCCGGGATCCTTGGCCCTCCTCCGCCTCCCTCCTTCCTGCTCGCCTCTCCCTCCTCATTGCCCTCCTGCTCCGGCTCTGACTGCCAGTTTTCCCAGCTCACGGCCCAGGCTGGTCCTTCCATGCTGTCACCAAGGCCTCACTCCTGCACATCTCCCAACCTGGACAGGGAGAACCCAAGCAAGAAGGTCCAGTGGACTTCGGAGGGCAGGAGGAGGAGGACATCATCCACGGACTCAGAGTCCAGGTCCCACACGGAGCCCTGCAGGCTGGCCAGGTCCCGGAGACCCAGCCGGCTGACGGTGAAGTATGACTGGGGGCAGCTGCAGCGCTGGCTGGAGATGGAGCAGTGGGTGGATGCCCAAGTCCAGGAACTCTTCCAGGTGGGCAGTGTGGAGACGAGACTTGGGCTGGGCGGGGACTGGAGAGCCTGCCCAAAGAGCTCCAGAGGAGCTGTGGGGCTGGTGTGAGACGTGCCCATGGAGGGAAGGCTTTTGGGCAGGTGAAAGGGAGAGGCCTTGGTTGTGTCTCTGTGATCTGGGGAAGACCTTTTAACATCTTTGAGACTCAGTTTCCTTATCTATAGAATGGGGCTATTGATGCTGTTTGTATCTTTTGGGTAGAATTTATTATTCTTATTTATTATTATTATTTTGTCTTTTGTGAGACAAGGTCTCGCTATGCAGTTCAGACTGGCCTTAAGCTCACTTTGTAGCCCAGGCTGGCCTTGAACTTGCAACACTCCTCCTGCCTCAGCCTCCTCAGTGCTGGGATTACAGGTGTGCACCACCACGCCTGGCTATTATTATTATTATTATTATTATTATTATTATTTTGGTCTGGAGATTGAGCCCAGGACCTTTACACTGAGTTATGTCCCCAGCCCCTTTCTTATTTTGAGACAGCATCTTGCTGTGTTCCCCAATCTGGGCTCAAACTTGGAATCCTTCTGCCTCAGCCTCCCAGGGTTGCATGCCACCATGCCTGACTTGATAAGATTGTTTTGAGGCTCAAATGACATAATCAGCGGAACATGCTTGGCTATGCTGATTTGCTTTATTTTATGTCTTAATTTACTCTTATCCTCAACATACAGGCATCTCTAGAAATACATTGTACAATACTGTAACTATCAGCTATATATAGCTATTAACTTCTAAATTACAAATATTTGGGTTTTTTGAGACAGGGTCTCACTATGTAGTTCAGACCGGACTTGAACTCACTATGTTGCCCAGGCTGGCCTCAAACTTTGAGTGACCCTCCTCCCTCAGCCTCCCCAGTGCTGGGATTACAGGTGTGTACCACCATACCAGCAGAAAAGAATTTTTCTTTTTTTTTTTTGTTTTTTTTTTCCGGTACCGGGAACCAAACTCACGACCTTGCACTTACCAGGCAGGCGCTGTGCCGCTGAGCTAAATCCCCAGCCCCTAGAATTTTTCAATGTCTAAAAAATTCTGCTCATAGACTATCTGACAAGTTACCATAAAAAGTGTTTCCTAAGACATATGGAAAGATAACATTATTATTTGTTTTGTTTTTTTGTTTTTTTTTCCGGTACCGGGAATCAAACTCACAGCCTTGCGCTTGCCAGGCAGGCGCTGTGCCACTGAGCTAAATCCCCAGCCCCTTGTTTTGTTTTTTTGAGACAGGGTCTCACTATGTAGTTCAGGCTGGCCTTGAACTCACTATGTAGCCCACACTGGCCATAAAGTTGCTTTGATCCTCCTGCCTCAGTCACCTAAATGCTTGGATTATGGGTGTGTACCACCACACCTGGCTCACATTATTGTTTTTAAATCCTTACAGTTCAAGATTTTCCACTCAGTGAAATAGCTAAGGATCTGAAACTGAGAAGATACATTTGAATACAAACACCTTGTGAAACTTAATACTTTCTGCTTCCTTCCTTCTTTTTCCCTTTTTTTGTTTTTCCTTTGCATCATCAGAGGGTATTACTGAACTAACAGCCAACTTGCCCACTTAGTCTGCTGTTCAGATGTGAGGGAGACACTTCTCGGTACAGGGACCTGTACTGTAGTCAATCCATTGCGTGCAGATGTTTAGCATAGGCAAACATTTTTCTCCCAGCTTTCTATTAACCTAATCTTCCTATTAGCAAAAACAGCTAAGATCCTGGCTCAGTTTCTATTTCAGACCAGTCATTGTACATCTGTGTGGAATCTCATATTTTAGACACTTCAAGGTACATCCTGCCAGGCAGCAGAGAAAGACTGTAGCCAACAAACTTTGATTTGCAAGATGAAGGTGGAGGAGCAGGAAGCTGTACGGTAATGAGCCGGTAGCACTGGAAAGCAGGCCATGTGGGAGGACCACTCCCAGGCAATGACTGGACTAAAAGTCTGGCCTGTGGTTGTCATGGCGATTGTTCAAAGGTGCCAGGTGGCAGTTCTGCTCCCAGTCCCTGGCCTTTTCAGCAGGAAGTAGCTAAGTGCCTGGGAAAGCCCCAGGTAGCTGGACATCTTCGGCAAAGGTAAAGGCAGCGCGGTGTCCAGCCTTCCCTTTACCCCGACCTAGTTCTGCTTCCATGGAGCCCCACATCACCCCCCAGGGCTCTGCCCCATATGCTCACCGTGGGTGGCATCCCTGGGAACGGTTATAGGGCTCTTTGGAGGAACCCATCGGGGCCCTGGATCTCCTGTTGTCCAGATAGCATGTGGATTTAGCTTCTAGGCAGGGACTTAAACACCCATGTTTCTCCTACATCAAGGAGACCCTTGTTCAACAGCTATGCCCCATCTAGTTACTGGCTCCTATTTCTGTCCACACTTGAGGTGTCTTGGTTACTTTTCTCTTGTTGCTAAGACAAAATACCTGACACCTAGAATTAAGAAAGGAAAGGTTTATTTAGCTCACAATTTGTGGAGGTTTCAGTCCATATTCACTGGCTCCAAGGCAGAGGTCAACCGGTTCATGGTGGCAGAAGATAGCAAAAACAGCAAGAGCAAAAGGCAGGAGTGGAGGCCAACAGCCTTTTCCTCTCCCTTACATATGCAAAACTACCTGCCCCAGGGCAGGTGTAGCACTTACACCCATAATCCCAGTATTGGACTATAGATGGATCATAAACTCTAGAAGCCCGCCCCATGACTGCATGAGGCTTTGGGGGGACTCCAGCCACAAACCGTAACAGGAGGCCTTGACTCACTGTTTCTCTTCCTGTCACCACTCAGTCCCCTGAAATCTGGGTTCTGCTCCTACATTCTATTGGAAGCTCTGGTAGAAGCCACCAGTCCCTGCCTTGGGGCTAAAATAATGCACAGATCAGCAGGAGACATTGTTGGATATCCTAGGGCTAGGGCTTTGAAGCATCCCTTTTCTGCAGCTTCCATGACAGTCTTTGCCTTGTAGAGGCTGATATTTGGACATAGCCCTTTGATGTGGTAACATTTTTAACCAATCTATTATAATTTCTTTCTCTCTCTCTTTTTTTTTTTTTTTGTCTTTTTTGAGACAGGGTCTCACTATAAAGTTCAGGCTGGCCTTGAGCTCACTTTGTAGCCCAGGCTGGTCTCAAACTCACAACCATCCTCCTGCCTCAGCCTCCTGAGAGCTGAGACTATAGGCATGTGCCACCACGCCAGGTTTATAATTCCAGTTTTTAAAAAATATTGTCAATAAGCCAGGCAGGGTGGCACATGCCTGTAATCCCAGCACTCAAAAGGCTGAGGCAAAGGGGCTGGGGATTTAGCTCAGCGGCAAAAGCGCCTGCCTGGCAAGCGCAAGGTCGTGAGTTCGGTTCCCGGTACCGGAGAAAAACCAAAAAAAAAGGCTGAGGCAGGAGAATCACTGTGAGTTTAAGGCCACTCTCAGTTATATTGCAAGTTCAAGGCCAGCCTGGACTGCATAGTGAGACCCTGTTTCCAAAAAAATATTGTCAGTGAAAAAAATTATTGTCAGTGCATGTGTGAAACAAATATTTGCTAGTTCATCTGAGCCTTACTCCTCATTGCTGGTCCCAGTGGTGGAGAGATTAGGAGTAAGGACTTGTGTGTGAAGTCAGAAAGAGGGTCAAATCAGGCAGCTTCTGGCAAGAAGTACTCGATGTAGTACAGAGTCACAAGCTCACCCTACTTGGCCATCTCAGCAGTGGCTGTTCTATATTCCAAGCACTGAGCTGCATCTCTAGCCACCCTTAATTATATATATATATATATATATTTTTTTTTTGAGACAGGGTCATGTTAAATCTCTGAGTTGCCCAGGCTGGGGTCAAACTTTTTATCTTCCTGACTCAGCCTCCCAGAGTTCTGGGATTACTGGTGTACACCACCACACCTGGCTAGGACTTACACTTTTTTTTAGCAGCAAGGGGCTAATCTTCATCATTCTTCCTTCCTCTTGAGATTCCCATACACCTATGTTTGGTCACTTGATAATTTCCACAGGTCGCCAGAGTTCTTTTTGATCTGTTCTCTATCCTACCATCTTCCTGCCAGCTCTCTCCCTCTTATCTTTTTATTTGCAGTGTTAAATAAGCTTCTAGTTCCATCCAGCAGAGTTTCCATTTAAAATATATTTTTCAGCTGGGTGTAGTGGTGCACGCCTGTAATCTAAGCACTCGGGAGGCTGAGGCAGGAGAATTGTTGTGAGTTCGAGGCCAGCCTAGGCTACAAAGGGAGCTCAACACTAGCCTGAACTGCATAGCAAGACTCTGTCTCAAAAAGCCAAAAAGAAAAATAAAGAATATATATTAATATATATTTCACATCCAGATGTACCATTTGCATCTTATGTTTTCCATTTTTCTTGTTACTGTGCTCATATTTTTCTTATCTGCTAATTCCATCATTTCTATCATCTCTGGATCGGCTTCTTTTTTCTTTTTCTTTTCTTTTTTTTTTTTTTTTTTTTTGTCTTTTTGAGACAGGGTCTTACTGTGCAGTTCAGGCTGAACTTGAGCTCACTTTGTAGCCCAAGCTGGCATCGAACTCACAAGGATCCTCCTGCCTCAGCCTCCTGAGTGCTGGGACTACAGGTGTGCACCACCACACCCGGCTGGATTTGCTTTTGTTGACTGAATTTTCACCTGGTTAAAGGTCTCCTGCTTCTTGGTATGACTTGTAATTTACATACATTTATTTATGATAGTGCTGGAGATTGAACCCAGAGGCCTTGTGTTCTGGATCAGCAAGCATTCTACTGTTGAGCTACAATCTGAAGCCTGACTAGTGACTTTTTTTTCTTGTCTTTTTGAGACAGGGTCTTGCTGTGCAGTTTAGGCTGACCTTGAGCTCACTTTGTAGCCCAGGCTGGCTTCGAACTTGAAAGGATTCTCTTGCCCAAGTTCTAGGCTTACAATCATGCGCCACTACATCCAGCTACTAGTGACTTTTGACTGGACATTAGACATTGCGCACTTGATCTTAGCCAAAAGGCCAAGAAGCAATAGACATTGTGAATTTTGTGTTGAGTAATACGATTGTAACACAATCTTCCTTTAAGGAGTATTGGGCTTTGGTGGTAAAGTTATGTGTGGTTGACTTTGATCCATCTGAGGCTTGTTGGTACGCTGTGTCAGGGTTAGTCTAAAGTAGCCTTTATTCTACTCTCACTGAGCATCACTCCTTATTTCTCTACTGAGTTCCTGCATGGTCAGCAATGGCGTACTTTGTTTTAGCCTTAAGTTTTCTTTTTTCTTTTGTTTTTGAGACAGGGTTTTGCTATGTAGTTCAGGCCTTGAACTTGCTATGTAGTCCAGGTTGGCCCTGAACTTGCAGTGATCCTCCTGCATCAGCCTCTTGAGTGCTGAGATTATAAGCATGTGCCACCATGTCGAGCTTCAAGACTATAAACTTTAAGGGCAGGATTATGTCTGTCTGTGCTGCTGGTGTAGTCCCAGCTTGGTACAGAGTGTGCACTCAATATATAGGCATAAATTAAACAAATGAACCCTGAATAAGATAAGGGGCTGGGGATTTAGCTCAGTGGCACACCGCCTGCCTGGCAAGCGCAAGGTTGTGAGTTCAATTCCCGGTACCAGAAAAAAAACAAAAAAAAAAACAAAAAAAAAGAAAGAAAGAAAATAAAATAAAATGAGCTAGAGATCAAAGAGGCAAAGGG